GTCTTACACTGCTAAATTAGGAACGGCTAGCGCAGATAGCCCTCGTGTAGCTTTGCGCGAAATTCAAACAAACAATCAAAGCAATGAATGTTTTAGCAAACAAAAACATTTAATACGCAATAGCCAATTGTAACATATTGAGTAATTTGTGTTATTCCGTCATATGTATAAACGGCTAGTACTTATAGTGTGAAATCATGTTATTCTGAGGTAAAACAAATTTTCGCTAAGAATGAAAGCACAGGTTCACAGAATAACGAGAAACTGAGTTCGCGAGAAATGAAGAGAGAATGAACACAAAATAAATCATTTTTATTTAAACAAACACAAAGAAAATATGCATTTCGTTTGTCACAATAGACAGTCGCCTTTACTGCAGAGTTAGATCTGAAGTTGTTTAACGTATTCAGATCACATCATAAAGCTAATTCTATTGATACCCTGTTAAAGACTGAATATATCTCACGATACTTTAACCCTTAACATCACACTCATTCACAGTGAATCGCGTTACCCACGTGACTGGTTATTCTCAATAAAACATAAGAAAGATCATTACCTCAAAAAAATCACCAGACAGTTAGTGGAAATATAACTGTCTAACTTTACATATTTCAGATGGATCTTGCAGCCATCTTTACCACTGGAAGGCAAAAGTTGGTGCTCTAGGTGAATGACACAGAACAATATTTAACAAAGTTTGACTACAAATGAAAGTATTTTGCAATAACACAGACTCATGTTAAAATAATATTAAATACAACTTTCACAAAAATTACACAGTACAATACACTTTAACATAGATGATCGAACATAAAATAAAACCCTTTAAAATGAAATAACTTAAAAAACTAAATCAAATACTTCCGAAAACTAATTCAAATACAAAAAGAAATCCTTCACACAAATACCGTACCAAATTATTGTAAAATACACTACATGCAACTCTTTAACATAAATATATAATAGAATAATTACTGACCCAATACGGTGATACTCTCTCATAGATAATATAATAGTCGTTATAATAAGCAGTTTAACACCAATCATAAGTTACAGAATGCTATCCATAATACATTCCAAAAATCACAATTATGATTTGACATAGCATAGAATACAAAATTAAGCTTAAGTGCAATACACATTATCACTATACAAACTCCTCAACAGTGATTGATATAAAGTCTAAAATAAAATCATGAAACAAAAATGACCCTTTCAAATTGCTGTGTTGGCATAATAAAAAAATCCAGTTACAAAACAGCTCATTACGTAAGTATGGCAATATCAAATAATAATATGCATAGGATCTTCCAAAAATAGAAAAATAATTAAAACGTAATATGGAATCCAACTTAGCTAATTACATTATGCATAAATATAAATACATAACTTTAAATATAATTTGTAATTATAAGAATAAGCCTTTCAAAACTGGAAAAAGAGACTAAATGAATTACAAGTACAAACGAAGAAAGAAAAGGAAAAATGCAGAAATACATATCCATGACAGAAATTGTTTAATATAGAAAAAATATCACATAATCGAAAGCTTTTTAACATAAATGATTATTCAAATTTTACAATAAAGAAAACTGTATATGTTATTTTTACAGTCCATTCTCAGGACAATCTGAGGTGTAAGTTCTAATGTCAAGAGATCCTTATGGACAACTGTGGATCTTCTAATTTTTATTTGAGGTGGTGATTTGCCAGATGATTTCCTTGGTTTTAAGTCTAGGTCAAATCTAATTGTAATCACCAAAAGATATCTGGTGATTACAAGTATATTTGACTAGATACCTGTCTCCAATCATGAGGGAAGTTCCAGATATCTCTGCATCTGGTCTACTCCATGGTTATATAAAGCTCAGGTTACGGTCTACTTTTCAGAATCTGATTTAATAATGTGTTTGTTGATGATTATCATTGTGATATAGTGGGGAGCTAGATCCTCAGTAATTACTGAGGTGAATCACTGGACTTCATTTGTTACCATTCACATGTTGTTTAACAGTTTTGTTCTTTGTGTAACTGGTCCATTAATGTTATACCACATTCTTATGGTAACTATTATTAAAGCATCTTCAGTTACTGACAAAATCCTAGCCGCAGGTGGAGATGTTGTCACAAGTAATTTCTTCACTAGTTCCAGCTCGGGAACACATCCCCAGTGTTTGGTAGACCCTCAGAAGGATCTAAGTTACTTACAGGTCTTTTTAACCTTTGGTATGTAATGTACTTGGTGGAGTAAAGTATATATTTAGCACCTGTTTAGTTTTACTGTCTCACTACCTCCAATGAGGCTTCTTACCATTTGTAACCACTACACATTGGTGGCCCTGCTGCCTGCTCTTTCACTGTTGTGGGAGTTGCCTATGAAGTGGTGACCTCTTCTGAACTTCGGCCAATGGATTGCTCAATTGGGATGTTCGTGTCTGAGTACTCAGGATACACTTACTACTAAGGTGTATCACAAACCCACTGAATTGTATTTACATTTTGAGAGTTTCACTCCTTCAAACTGTAAAGAAAATCTGGTTGAAACTCTGCTATACAGAATGTTTAGTATACCATGAAATCAGAAGCAGATGTTAAGAACATTAAACAAATGGTTGTAAAAAACGAACAAAATGTTTTCCATTTTTATTCCCAATTAGAATAATCCACACTAAATATGAAAATCTAAACACCCCCACCTTTTATTATGTTAGGAATTCTGAAAATAACTGTTAAAACTTTTTGTTTAAACAAAAAGCTACACAATAGGCTATCTGTGCTGTGTCCACCACGGGCATCGAAACTAGGTTTTTGGCGTTATAAGCCTTCAGAATTACCGCTAAACCACTGAAGGGCACATAAAAAAGAATAAAATTATAAAGCAGCTAAGTCAACAAGTTCAGGTATAATATGCCTTTAAAACAAAGTATAGGTTAAAATACCCTTAAACTAAAGATAAACAACATCCATTGAATACTTCGATAGTGGTATATTAGTTATTGTGACCTGGAATATATTGGGTCAACCATTAGAAATATCTGCAGTCGAAAAAAATAAAATAAAATTATAACGCTAAAGCCTATAGCACCAACAATATTACCAACCACTTTCTAAATAAATGAAATGTTATGCCTGCTTCCAGTTTCTTCCGCATCACTCTTCATTCCCGGAAATAATTTCATCTTAGAATCTCTTGCCTTTAAGCTAAGAAAATCAGTTCTTATCCAGAATATGAACATGCTGGCATCAGACCTTCAATTGCGAAAATGTAAAGAAAAGAACAGAACATTAACTGAATAATACTAGACATTGGTAGGTGAGGCAGATCTGAGCCTCCGTGGAAACAGGCAGAAGGTGATGGATGAGACAGAATTGTGTGGTACTCCATTTTCATGTTCTTTCATCTTTCTCCAGAATTTGTATGATGTCTTTTGATTGAAACCTGAACATAAAGAATTTCAATGAGTCATGGTGATAGAAGAACGTAGCATGTTTACTGAAAAAATACAAGAAAAGCGCACATTTGGATTGTCATGATGCACACTAAAAGTCGACAATATTACTTAATATTAATCTTAATGTTGCAATATTCATGTTCAATCAACAAGGCCATACATTCAAATGTGAAACAAATGTGAGAGTGGTTATAATTGATGCTAATACATCTAGTACACAAAGCAATAAATCTTCACTAAATAAGGTTCTTTACAAAGACAATTTTCTCGAGGGCATTTCTCTAGTACCATTGTCTGTCGATAAACATATAACATTTTTTCGTCCCCCTGGTGGGACAGCGGTAAATATACGGATTTACAAAACTAAAATCCGGAAGTTCGATTCACCGCGGTAGACACAGCAGATAGCCCAATACGGGTTTCTTTAGAACAAGCCTTCTTTTTCCCCAACCCTATCTGTGGCTGTTTCAAAGTCCAAGATTTTTTTAATCATGTTTGCCATGTACAAAGTACGAGTGTCTCTGCTACACGTTTGTCATCCAGAGGTTGGTGATAATACGGTTTCGTACCATCGCTCGTAGCGCTACGCTATGGTCAATTAGTTCTGCTACCCCATTAGCCACATTTTGTGGCAGATAAACCTTCAAACAATATATTCCAAGAAAACCTGGAAAATATGACATCAGATTTGGGGTTATCGTGATAGTAACGTGCCCTATGCTTATAAAATGCTAAAGATGAAGTACACTGTATTTAACAAGTGCTATTCAGATAGTCAGTTGTTGTTTTCTACAACATGTTAGATGGGTGCTGCCTACATGCTCTTGTTTTGTGGATTAATGTTGACCCTGGCTGGAACAACGAAATTTCCCATAAAAAACGCATTTTTTTCTACAGGTGCTTAGAAAAGAACTAATTAAACTTACCAGAAAGATGGTGACAACACTAGAAAAATCCGACTTAAAAATCTGAGGTTGGCATTACCAAATCAAAAACCAAAAAAAAAACATAGTAGTTGTAAATTATACCCTTAAGAAATGGACAAAAAAAAAAACACGGACAGTTTTTAGTGTGTTTGTTTCTTATTAAGCACAAAGCTAAACAATGTGCTATATGTACTGTGTCAACCGAAATATGAAAACCCGATTTTTAGCATTATAAGTCCGAGACCAATGGTAGGCATGACGGACACATGTGATAAGTTTGCATTTAAAGATCATTCCAAGATATTATGTGACACCTTTGATGGTCGATGATGATTTTTAGTTTATCAATATTCTCATTTCTTTCAATTTTTAACTACTTTTATTTTCTTTAATAAAACTTTACAGCTTTAAACTGTTATTGTATAAGGAATTAAGCATCAGTATGTAAAAACAATAGAAACATTTAACAGCTATTAATAGAGTAATTTCTTATGTATACATTCACGGGGTCCATGTGGGCCCCCCCAGTAGTGAACAGTATAAAAATGTTAAGTAATTTGAGGAGGTAATAGATGTATTAGCTTAGTTATGATCCATTGTGTAGCTTTGTGCGACAAACTGTCTTATCGAAATACAATCTGATCTTTAAAAAAAAGTAATATACGGTATTCGTCTAGGCGGCTTGAAATTCTGTTCTACTTGTATCTTTTATCCTTGAATTTGAAACGTACAAATCGAAAATTATCATTTGACATTTACTTCTCAAAAAAACGTTAATATGTAAAGTGTTTTTATTCTCTAAGCGGAAATACTTTGTACTTAAACGCAATGACATGCGCAATATATAACTGTAACGCATGACCTCGTAAGTAGTATGAGTATGTTATAGCATAATTAGTGCATTTTCGCTCGTGATTCAATGTTTAGATAGTTAGGTCAAACCGCCAAATAATTGTCATTACTAGTACGTTTGATTAATTAAGTAATTTGTATCATTAAGTAATTATGGTGTAACTTTCAACTGTGCTTCTGAATTTATCCGTGTGCTTGGTGAGAAATGGAACATGAAATATTTCGACCGGAATATTTGTCAAACTTGTATCGAAATGATGAGCGATCGTGTTCAATGTATCAAAATCGCTTAAACTTAAAGTCAAACTCAAAGAGTGGGGTAGGTTATGTTCAATTCAAATAATGTTGTGATATTGTTTGAGAAAAGCTTATTAAAGGCAATTACTTTGTGTTTTTACATTTCGTTGCTTTCCAAGTGATTATTTAAATATCTGACGTGTATGCTTGTTTGTTTTTTTTATATTCGACAGGTCATGGTTTCTAGTAGATTTGTTCGACTAGCTAAGAAAGTGGTGCTTTTCGTGTGTCTTCTGTTGGTATTATTTCTTCTGTGGTATTCTGGTAAGAATGACATTTTATGAACATCATGATGAGCTATTTAGCTACTAAAATGTTTATAATTATATTCGAAATTTTTAGATATTTAAGATGCTTAAAGAATTTCAGATGCAAATACTACGACGTAGCGTATTGGAGATTTTACTTAGCATAAATATCGTGTCCACTATCTCTTTAATTTTATCACTTTCGTCAAATCTAACGATCTACATTGACATTAAGCGTGGATTTTATAGTTTTACGTTAAGGTATCGATGCATACAACTGAAATTTATTTTTGAAGTATGGTTTCATTTTCCCCGTGGTTTGTTTAGTCAGGGGATCAAAGATAACTTACTTTGTAATTATTGAAATGCATGCGAACCGTTGATTTATTTCATGGATCCTCCTACATTATAGAACGCTTGCTGGGTTACCCAGATCGTTCCAGTTAGATAAATAAAAGCGGCTAAGAATTACTTATATTTTTTGCTTGAACTTGCGGAAATGTTTTTGTTTTTATATGATTATATTTCTAATAGTTTGTAATATAAAGAACCAAACTTAACCTTTGGTTAAACACATAAACCAAGGTTAGTGGATTCTTAGAATATCATATCAGATGTTCGATATTCTATAGAATGTTAAGTTTAGCACATCTACACCCGTTCCCCTATTTCCCGTTTATTGTAGTCAGTTAAATCCTTTATAAAGTCCCCTTATAAGGGATAGGTCGCGCGTTAAGCACGTGTAATTCTCTCCTCGCCTGTTCAAGTAAAATACCCAAAGGACCAGCATATGCACGTTCTATGTTTATTTTTAGATTAGTTTCAATACAAATACACTTCATTACATTTGAACTGTCCAAGTGCACTTTGGCCTTTCCATTTCGGCACATCTAGGAGTGTCTTCCCCCCCCCCCCTCCCCAACAGATTTCAACGCATATTTATAAGAAAATAAAATGTAGGATTTATTATCTTTTTATAGACAAATCGATCAAGGAAATCTAGAGTAAATGACTTATTTTCATAATAAGTGTAGGACTAGATGTAGCAAGTAGTTTCATGGTGGGCTGATGCCATGTCTATAGAACTAAGGCCCATTGGTCCTAAAACAACTGGTTTCTTCATGGAGAATGAGGTGTGAGGGGTTTGTTCTGTAGTTGAGAAGAGCAAGTAACATGGATTAATAGCAAGTCAAGAAAAGCGAGTGACGAGTTAGTAGTCTTTATCTTTTATTAAATATCATTTCATCAACAGAACAGATAAGAAACATTTCTAACCCCTTTTTTGGCTATTTCATCGATTCTGTGACGTAATTGCAAGAACCTTCAATATCCCTTTTATTTGTTATCTCTGATTTGATATTGTTTAAGAGTAAAGATACCAGTCCCTCTACTAAGTAAAATTAGTATTTCATTATGAAAATAATAATTTCTCGATGTATCTCTGATATTTCTTTTAAAGTAAAGATACCACTCCCTACACTGAGTAAAATCAATATTTTGGTTATCATCCCAGATGAGACTGTGGCTATATTTAGTCGATAGTTACACTAGAATTTCTGGATAAATCTTGCTTGAATGTGTTCCCTTGAAACACCACAAAGGATGCATGGTTTTCCTATGCAACAGTCAATTTTTATTTATAGACAGAACATTTCATCTTATGTTAATATGATGAATCCTAATTAGAACCAATAGACATGAGGAACAATGATGCTTAGGACCAAAGAACAGTCCTCGTCGGACTGTGAATCTAATGGTCCGCGTTTCACGTTGCCTTAAAATTGCGCTCCGCACTTTTTGTACTGTCGGTGTGCTACAAGTGTGACAGTCAGATCTCACTACTCGATTGGAATAGCAAAACAGTGGAACGTTTCGTGCTGCTTACCAGCTAGCTGCCTTCTGTATAGTTTATCAGTTAAAACTTAGGGACAGCTAGCTTAGATAGTCTTTGTGTTACTGCGTAAATATCAGAAACAACACAACTCAACAACACAACACATGGTTAATACGCTAATATCAGTATCAATTTTCTCGAGTAAATGTAAGGTAATTTTTTTTCATTTCGTTCCTTGTCATTAAATTAATCATAAAAAAAATCATAAAGTTTTAAAAGGGACAAAAAGGAGCTTATTAGCCCTTCAAGAATGTCCCTTCCAGCTACCAACTATAACCACCCACTACTATTCATGTATTCATCCAATCTTTTCTTGAACTGGGTTAAATTTTCTGCCTCCACCACCCTTATTCCAAAAGCCAACCACCATGTTTGAAAAGTAATACTGTCTAAACTGCAGACGACTCCTACGCTGCCAAAATTTGAATTCATGACCCTTTGTCCTATTGTTTCCACTGCTAAACGCAAAGTTTGATTGATCTATATTATCAATACCCTTAATCTTAAACACCTCAATTAAATCCCCTCTGAACCCTTCTCCAGATAAAAACAAGTTTAGATATTTTGGTTTTTCCTTATAGGACAATCCCACTATCTCTGGTATCATCCTAGTGGCTCTTCTCTGAAACTTCTCCAACAATTCAATGTCGTTCTTGAGAATGCCCCCCAGTGGCACAGCGGCATGTCTGCGGACTTACAACGCTAGAATCCGGGTTTCGATACTCGTGGTGGGCA